CTCACTATTACTATTCACTATTATATAATTACTTATTGTATTATACTATATAATCTCTATATATATATATTGTGCCCCTCTCATTTCTGATATCAATACTTCACTACCCTCTATATATATATTATATTATATATTATATAAGTATTAATATATATATATTAAATATATAATATCATATATAATATGATGTGGAGTGCCATGTGGTGTGTGTTTGATCATGCTACCGCCCTGCGGTCGTGCGTTGCGCCGCGTCGGGTCAGTGTCTGTATGTGGAGCTGAGAGATAGGTGGGTAAGTACTAATAGGTCCCGTCACCCTCGTCGTCTCCCACCACACCCTCACCCCTCGCCGTCTCCCTCCCCCTCACCCCTCTCGCGTGCGGTTCTCCTCCTTCCTATATCACCCCTGCGTCTAATCTCCCCTCACCCATCACCCCTCGCACGATCTACTCCTCTCTCATCAAGACCCCTCAGCTTCAAAAAAAATTCCAATAGACTTAACGCGTCCTCCACGTCCTAGTATCATCCCACTTCAAACCGCCTTAATCCATCCCTCGCCGTCTCCCCATCATCCAATCAACCCTCGCACATAAACCGTAACAATCGATCTTCTCCTGCTCCTCTCACCTACAGCTCACAGCATATCTTTCCTACCCGTAACACCCTCAACACCTCGCCGTGTCTCTCCTACCTGCATCCCCCTTCGTCGATAGCTCCCCCCCGCATCACCCTCGCATTACGCATCTCCCTCTCCCTCACCCTACGCACGTCTCCCTCCCCCTCACCCTACGCCGTCTCCCCTCTTCGACCCCTCACAACACCTGGTTATATTGTAGAAACTTCTAACCACGTCATCACCACTCTCCACTCACCCCTCGCCGTCTACCCCTCTCCTACACCACTGCGACATACACACGCGTCTCCCCTCATCCTCACCTACTCACCTTAACCCCATCTATACCCCTCACCCGCCGATCTCCCCTCTACCCTTCACGCCTCGTCGTCTCCCCTCATCCCTCACCCCCTCGCGCACGTCTCCCTCTCCCTCACCCCTCCCCTCCCCTCCCCCAATCCTTCGACACACCGAACTCTCTCGCTTTAATTTTTTTTCACTCTTAGTCTTGCCTCGTAACTAAGCATATTCTGACTCTTGGACCTGACCTGGACTATTTTTTAGATAAAAAAGTGTTTTATGTAGGTTTTGAAAAAGGTTGATGTTCCTTTTGTTTTACTATTAGGATACTTCCTAGTAGTACCTGAGCATTCCTTCTCTCTCTCCTCTCTCTCTTATCTTCTTCTTCTTTCTTCTTCGTCTTTTTCTAGCACCCGCGTTTTTTCTTCATTTCCCTCCTTATTTTTCGACACCCCCTCCCAACCCCACCCCCCCCCACCCTCCCCCGCAAAGGAGAATACTTCCAGTAGATATTTTTTTGTGTGTTAATTTGGCACCTTAAATGACACGCCATTCCCTGAAACCCAGTAGCGATGGGCTCGCTCTTGAGCTGAAAAAAAATATATCCCTCTTCTTGCTCTCTCGTCTGTTTTTTTTTGTTTTTTTTTCTTATTTTTTGCATTTTTTTCAAGAAGTGTGATCAATTTTGTACTCTTTTCTCTGGCCGATGAAATATATATATATTTTTTTTGGCATAGCCTATATATTTTTACTGTTATCTGTTTATTTTATTGTTTGTGAAGGAACCGTCTCTTTGAAGATGGCGGCTTCACCTTGTAACTTGGCTGGCCCTTGTCCTAACCTGTGCCATCCCACCTGTTTGCCACGCCTCCCTCTCCCTATCCTACCCTCTCTCTACCCACATCTCTATCCTCCCCCTCTCGGCCTCTGCCATTCCTCTCTCTATCCTCTCCTCTCTCTCTCCTCATTCTCTCAATCCTTTCCCTCTGTATCTTCCCCCTCTCTCTCCTCTCCCCTCCTAGAATCCCCTTTCCCCTCATTCTACGATGTTACTTCTCCCTTTATATCTCTATCTGTCTAAGTCTCCTTCCTATCCACTATCTTTACCCTTTCTCTCACTGTCTTTTAACTCTCTCTCCCTCTCCCCTCACTCTGTAACCCTCTCCCCCCTTCCTTCTTCCCCATATCTCCCCTCTTTCTCCTCCTCATCCCCCTCCAACCCCCTCTTTCTCCTCCTTATCCCGCCAACCCTTCTCTTTCTTCCCCTTACCCATCTAACTCCTCTAACCCCCCTCCTCCTACCCCTCCCTCTGTGACGACGACCAGCTGATCGCTTGTTAAGGCTGAGCGTCCATGTGCTTGGTTGTAGGGCTGGTGGGCTGATCACTGCTGTGTCTTGGGCAGTGCGGGCTGTTGGCTCCCTCCCCCCTACCCCTTCCCTCCCCCTTTGTCCCACAACCTAACCCTTCTCGTCCCCTTTTTGCTTACCCTACCCTCTCTCTCGCCCTCCTTACTTTCCCGGCCCTTATACCCCTCCCCTTCCCTCTACCCGCCCCTTTGTACCCTTCCCTGCCCCCTTATCCCACCCACCTTCCCCTTCCCCCTATCCCACCCATCCTTTAGCTTTCACAACCCCTTCCCCCCACACTTTAGGCTTTTCTCCCCCTCCCCCCCCCTTTGCTCCTTCCTCATAAGCCTCCTTCCCTTAGATCCCTCCTCAGCCCCCCCCTCTCCCATCCCATCCTCTACCTCTCTTTTGCTTGGATCTCTTTTCTGTTTCCTTTCCCCCTTCCTCTTTTCCGTGTATTTATTTTCTTGTCTTTTTTTCTGTCCTTTTTGTTCTTGAGCCGTCTCTCTCTCTCTCTCTCTCTCTCTCTCTCTCTCTCTCTCTCTCTCTCTCTCTCTCTCTCTCTCTCTCTCTCTCTCTCTTCTCTCTCTCTCTCTCTCTCTCTCTCTCTCTCTCTCTCTCTCTCTTCATATATGTGATATATATGTATGTGCGAGATATAATATCATATATATTTCATCTTATCGATAACGACTATAGATATTACAATACTATAGATAACAATAAGAATATATAAATATATATATATTTATAATATATAATAGATATTAACATATATAACTCATATAAAAAGTAAATATATGGTAAATATTATATATATAATATATATATATATATATATATATGATATATCATATATAAAATAATGTATTTACTATACTTATTAATATAATATATATACTAACTATATTATACTAATTAAGGCTTGTATGTTATATCTGTGAGATATCATAGATTATTCAACTAGTGTGATTAAGTCCAATCCTAATATCCCATACACACACAATATATATATACAGTTAAATATAATACTATCGTGTGGTGGGTGTATGTATGTATGTATGACCTATATTAATATAACACATTTACAAATTATACGTTTTTATTAAATGTCTACCTACGTATGTACTATGCACAATGTCACATATATATTAATATAATAAATATATATCAATAATATATATAATATATATAATACGTATACATATTATATTATATATATAATATAAAATACATTATTATGATATAAAATATATGTACTAACTAATACAGTATTAGTATATTATAAAATTTTATTATAATAAAATTATTTTTGATGACAAATATAAAAATACCGAAAAAAAAACATAACTATAATTTATTTTTTTTATATTTGAAATTTTAATTTAATAATAAAAATAATTTTAATAATTAAACATATAATAATATATTCAACTAAATATATGATATATAATAGTAAATATATATACAATAATACCACACATTTACAATATACGCCATAATTAAAAATGGTATTTTGGAGGTGATATTAATTGTACACTACTTAGGTTGATGAATATATTAAAGTAACATATATATTTAATTTATATATATATAAAGTATATATTATAATATAAAATATATTATTTCAATATATATATAGAAAAGTATTGAGAAGATATATATTTGCTCATCACATGAAGTGTAATATTATGAGTCTATAATCAGTCTGGAATCCCCTTCGGCGCTTTCTCATCACCTCTCTCCCTTCTTACTCACAAGCCAACTTAACCATATAAACCGCCAGTGAATTATTTTCATTACTCTCATTCTCCACAGCACCTCCGCCACGCCCTGCCCCAGCGACCCCATCCCGCCCATTGTAGCTGCAGAATGAGAAAGCTAGCTAGCCGCACAATACACAGGCTCCCCCGACCCTACCGCCGCCCCACCCGCACCACAGAAAAGGACGCTGTGAACGCTATCATAGGGGACGGTCTGCGTGGGGCTAAGCGAGACAAACACGCCTGGACAGTTCCGGTAGGTTTATGAGTCAGCCGATCCCCAACGCCGTCGGAAGGTGTCGTCTTGAGTCCTCGCTGGCGTCCGCGCCTCTATCTCGCCCACGCCGCGCGAGCAGTCGCTCCCGCGTCCATGGACGTAGCTTTTCCTCACGCTCTGAGCTTGTCATTCTAGCTAATCATATTCATTTTTACAAGCACCAGACGTCTACTATAGGAGATTATAGTAGAGTTCCCTCTGCGAATAGCTGATCGCACAAACTTCCATCTGGCATTCTATCTAATAAATCTCCACCTCCCCGCTTAGTCTCTGTAGTCATATGCATAAAGTGCGAACATTCGACAAGGCACTTTTTTGCGAATAAAAATGTTTTCGAGACGCTTAGTGCTATATCGTAACGTTCAGAGTGATTGAGCGTTAGGCGTGTGTAGGTAGAGATACGGGCTAGTCCAGGAGACGTGTGGCAGTCGTGGAGCGGGCAGGACGGAGTCGTGCAGACAAGTTAGTAGCGCCCCGTCATGTGGATTTCACCAAATAAATGAAAATACTGATAGACTGATCGTACACTACTACTCTAATGCGACCCTACCCAGGAGAGTGAGTCACTGGCCACCTCACTGTGATAACACTCAGCCAGCCAATCAGACTGCTTCTTGAAATGCCAAACAGCTGGAGCAAGCCAACCTATTGTGAACACCACACGCTCGACTAAAACAAAATACCGTCCTCCGCACAATTGTGGTTACCGCTTACTCCCGAGGCTTTTGCTGCTGTGTGGGCTTGTGTCTGTGTCGGTGTAGCGGGTAATGTGGTTAGCCGAGTGACCCAAGAGCGCGCCCGGACCCCACCACCACAAACACCACCACCACCACTTCACCACTTCACCACCACCCACCACATCACCAGCACCGACGCCGCCTGCTCCTCAACTCCTGCCGCTGCTGCTTTCACCGCTGTCGTTCGAGCATTTATTGGAGGCGTGGTGAGACTCCGCCTGGAGTCTCGACTACCGGCCAACTGGATCCCACGGCCGCAGCCGCCGCCGCCGCGCACAGCGCCCCCTACAGCGCCATGGTGAGCCCGGGGGTGCCCAACATGGCAATGGTGAACGTCAACAACTTCCTCAACGTCAAGGATTCGCGCTGGCTCCAGCTGGAGGTGTGCCGCGAGTTCCAGAGGAACAAGTGCACGCGGCCGGACACGGAGTGCAAGTTCGCTCACCCGCCGCCCAACGTCGAGGTCCAGAACGGACGCGTCACCGCTTGCTACGACTCTATCAAGGTAAGTGCCGCTGTCACGTCCTGCTTTTCAGAGTGTGAATGCGGGCCAGGTTTCCGGGGCTGCTTCGCCAGCCGGCCCTCGTGGCACTCGGAAACCCCCGAGCCGAAGGATAGGGAAGGCTGTTGCCAAATGACTAGTAATGCAGAGCGAAAATTTCAACCATAAAACTCCAAGCAAGCGACCGCATTGCCCTTCGATCTGGAGCGCTAGCCCGTCCACCGGTGTCAGCGCCCCTTCCCTCCGCCGGTGTCAGCGCCCTTCCCTCCGCCCGGTGTCAGCGCCCCTTCGCCGGTGTCAGCGCCCCTTCCCTCCGCCGGTGTCAGCGCCCCTTCCCTCCGCCGGTGTCAGCGCGCCCTTGCCCTTCAGCGGCGGGTGTCAGCGCCCCGTTCCCTCGCCCGGTGTCAGCGCCCTTCCCTCCGCGGTGTCAGCGCCCTTCCCCCCGGTGTCAGCGCCCCTTTCCCTCCGCCGGTGTCCAGCGCCCCTTCCCTCCGCCCGGCTTCCGCGGTCAGCGCCCCTTCCTCCGCCGGTGGTCAGCGTTCCGCCGTGTCAGCGCCCTTCTCCGCCGGTGTCAGCCCCCTCTTCCCTCCACCGGTGTCAGCGTCCATTCTCTCCCGTGTCAGTTCTAATAGCGCCAAGTGCCAGTGTCAGCGCCAGTTCCCTCCGCTGGTTCAGTTCCCTCCACCGGTGTCAGCGTCCATTCCTCCGCCGGTCCCGCCGGTGTCAGCGCCCGTCCCTCCGCCGGTGTCAGCGTCCATTCCTCCGCCCCTCCCCCGGTGTCAGGGTTCCCTCCGCGTGTCAGCCGGTTCCCTCCGCCGGTGTCAGCGCCGGTTCCCTCCGCGGTGTCAGCGCCGGTTCCCTCCGCCGGTGTCAGCGCCAGTTCCTCCGCCGGTGTCAGCGCCGGTTCCCTCCGCCGGTGTCAGCGCCGGTTCCCTCCGCCGGTGTCAGCGCCGTTCCCTCCGCCAGCGTTTCCCTCCGCAGCCTCCCCCGGTGTCAGCGCCGTTCCCTCCGCCGGTGTCAGCGCCGGTTCCCTCCCGGTCCGCCGTCCGCCGGGTGTCAGCGCCGGTTCCCTCCGCCGGTGTCAGCGCCGGTTCCCTCCGCCGGTGTCAGCACCGGTTCCCTCCGCCGGCCGGCCTTTACGGCATTCGTCAACGGTCACGTCGCAGCCGCCATGGCGCGCGGACTCGGACAACGAGCGCCGTTCTTCCCGCCAAAATATCCCTCTCGCATGAAACACGCTTCTCCTAATAGCTGCCGCCGGACTATTACGAAACATAAATATCCGAGCCAGATGGTTGGCAAATTAGGAGTAAGAGAACCATTGCGAGCCGGAAAAATAATATCGCAGAAAGTGGCGCGGCGAGAGTAACGAGGCGTTCGTGTGGCGTGTGGTTATCGCGGGCGTTCGTGTAGCCGCCGGATTCTCGCAGGCGCTTGGCCCTCGCGCCATCTTTGTTTTCCTCGCTGAGTTTCCCCGTGGATCCCGATTTTCTGCCTATTAGATGGTATTTCAGTAGCTTGACATTTTTAAAAGCTGTAATGATGATGAGGTCGATAATTATGGGTATCGCGAGTAGTTGTACTAATGGTATTTTATATTATTAGCGGTAGTTGATAGTCTTAGTCGAAATATTACTGCTATTACAATACCAATGCTACTACAGCTATCCCTAAAAATACTGCTGTTATTTTTCTAGTTTATTGTGTTGCCGCTTTCAAATAAGCGCGTTATTCCTGTCACAATATCCATTTTATATTTTCATTCACACTTTCGTTGTTGTGGTTTCGCAGTCAACTTTCATGTGGCTCAACTTTCCATCCAGCTTGTAAAAATTATCGTATTTTATTTTACTTTTATGTTATTGTTGTTGATGTTATTATTATTGTTATTACTATTATCATCACATTATTATTGCTATTAATATTGGTTATTATATTATTATTATTATTATTATTATTATTATTATTATTATTATTATTATTATTATCATGATGATGGTTGTTGTTAATATTATTGATGCTGATATTGTGATCATTTTGAATGTTGTTATTATTATTTGCATTTTCTTGGGTACTTGCTATTGGAGCGCAAAACTTCCTTAGTCTCCTAATTTCCCGCTGGTCCAAGGGGTTCTGGGCTGGGACCTCTTTGCGTTCTCTTTCTCCTTCTTCCTTCTTGTGCTTCCTTTATTCGCTCTGTCTCTGTGCCTCTTTCTCTCTCAGTTTTATTTTCGTGTTATTAGGTTATTGTGTGTTTTAGTTTCTTTTTTTTTCTCTCGTTTTTTTCTTTCTTTCTCTTCTTTCTCTCTCTCTCTTTCTTTCTTTCTTTCTTTCTTTCTTTCTTTCTTTCTTTCTTTCTTTCTCTCTTTCTCTCTTTCTCTCTCTCTCTCTCTCTCTCTCTCTCTCTCTCTCTCTCTCTCTCTCTCTCTCTCTCTCTCTCTCTCTCTCTCTCTCTCTCCTCCCTCGTCTCTCCCTCTCCCTCTCTCTCCCCTCTCTCTCTCTCCTCCTCTCTCTCCTCTCTCCCTCTCCTCTCTCCTCCCCTCTCCTCATCCTCCCTCTCCTCCCTCTCTCCTTCCTCCCATCTTCTTTTCCTCCTGTGTTAGCAACTTTATATTAGTTATGATAAGACGTCAAGCAAGTCTTCGGCGAAGGGGAATTCCCGGCTTTCCTCGGTATTATTATTATTATTATTGTTATTATTTTTTTAAATTTTTTTATTATATTTTATTAGTATATATATATATTATATTATTATATTATATCAATATATTATTATCATTATTTTTGTATTAGTGTTATTACTATTACTATTATTATTGTCATTATTACTATTATTATGAAGACTTGTTATTATTCTTTCGCTTATAACTATTATTTTTTTCTAGTATAATTATTACTATTACTATTGATAATTATTACAGTTGTTCCTATCATTTTCATCATTATTTGTATTATTCCCTCTATTAGGTCTATGATTATTATTTTTATTATTGTTATTGATATTATTATTGCTATTGTTCTTCAAGCAAAAGGTCGTAATTATAGGCACAAAGACCGGCCGTCAGCCCCAGGGGAGTAGGCCCCAGGGGGAGGGGGAGGTGTCAGCAGCCGTCACAGTAGGGGGTGGAGGGGACGTAAGTGGGGGAGGGAAAGGGAAAGGGGGGGGAGGAGGGAGAGGGGGGAAGGAGAGGGGGTATAGAGGTCGTGGAGGGAGGATGGAGAGGGGGGGGAAGGGGGCAGATGAGGAAGAGGTGGGGAGAGGGGGGAAAGCTTCTGTGATAAAAAGATTTTTTGTTATCGCTAGATGGGTAGGGAGGGGGGGTAGAAAGGAAAGGGAGGAGGGAGGATAGGTAGGGAAGGGAAGGGGAAGAGGAGGGATGAGAGGGGGAAGGGAGAAAATGGAAGGAAGAGGGGGCGGGGAAGACGGGGGGGGGGGGAGAAGAAGGGGGAGATGTTTAAGTTGCTACGGTATTTTCTTGCTTTCTTTCTTTCTTTCTTTCTTTTCTTTTTTCTCGTTTTCGGGGGGTGGGGTGAGGAGCTTAATGGTTTGATTTAATTATTCTGTGTGTTCCTCCTTTATCCTTCTTTATAATGTACAGTTCATTAGCTTTCCTCCCTCGCTGTTCTTCCCAATTTCATCTTCTTTCACCTCCTTTCCAACCCTTTCCTATCCATCTCCTTTTCCATGCGTATTTTCCTGCCATCTCTCCTTTCCCTTCCTTCCTTCTTTCCTTCCTTTCTCTCGTATATTATCTCTTTTTTCTCTCCCTTTTCCTTCATTCCCATACATCTTTTCCTCCTTCCCTCTCCCTCTCTTTTCTTCCTTCCTCCCTCTCTCCCTCTTCCTTCTTCCTTTCTTCCTTCGTCCCTCTCTCCCCTCCATTTCTCCTTCCTCCCTCTCTCCCTCTTCCATTTCTTCCTTCCTTTCTTTCTTCCTTCCCTTTCTTCCTTACTCCCTCCCTCCCTCCCTCCCTTCCCCCCTCTTTCAGTTCCTCCTTCCCTCCTTCCTTTCTTCCTTTCCTCCCTCTTCCATTCCTATCTCATTATTACTTCTTCCTCTCTTCCTTTCCTTTCTCTTCGTCGCCGCATTCGCTCCCTGACGGCGGACTCACGACGGCCGGGTGGTGATGGCACCCTTCGTGGCACCGTGGGGGGGGGGGGATAAGCGGTTATGGCATGGCACCAGAGAGGAGAGAGGAAGAGGGAGGGAAGGAGAGAGGGAGAGGGAGGGAGGGAGGGAAGAAGAAGCGGGAGTTGGCAAAGAAATGGCGAGTCTAATGAGGAAAGATGGTAAAAAGGAGATAGACAGACAGATAGAATAAAGGTGACAACTAATGATAATAACTACTAATGATAAGAATAAGATTTAAAGATAAGAGTACTACTAATAATAGCAAGAAGAAAATTAAGAATGAAGATAAGAACATAAAAAGAATGATAATGATAAGAATAAGAATCAAGAAAAAAATACATACAAAATTAAGACCAAGTAGAAGAAAGAAAAGTTCCGCGGATCAAGAGACCAATGATAATAAAGATGATAATAATAATAATAATATAATAATAATAATAATAATAATAATGATAATAATAAGGATAATGATAATAAATCAGTTTCGCGGAATTAGGTACAGGAATAAGAGTAAAAAGAGACCAAAAATAAGAATAAGAATAAAACAATTTCGCGGAATTAGATACAAAAATAGGAATAAAGTATTTTTAAAAAGTTTCGTGGAATTAGATGCAAGAATAAGAATTTAAAAAAACGTTTCGTGGATTTAAATACAATAATAATCATAATCATAATAATAATAATAATAATAATAATAATAATAATAATAAAAACAGTTTCTCGGAATTAGATACAAAAATAAGAATAAAGAATAAAAAAGTTTCGTAGAATTAGATGCAAAAATAAGAATTAAAAAAAAAAGTTTGACGGAATTAAATACAATAATAATAATCATAACAATAATAATAATAATAATAATAATAATAATAAC